CTCCTGACAAGCCATTGTCAACAGCATGGCACAAATGAAGAGTCAGTGCTTTGCCTGGCGGGCAAGAATACACAGTTTCACCATCCCAATGCTTTGCTGTTCTAAGACATCTACTGGGACTCATCCAGTGATCAGACTTTAAAGAAATGTAGTGAAAACCGAGCTTGGTCATGGGAATTTATTGAGGAATCATCCAGATGAAGAGGGAATTTACTGAAGGAATTACCCATATGAGCCTGGAAGGCTCTAAAGAACGTAATAGGTCTTGTTTATTGCTAGCATCTAGGGGATAAACTATCCCCTCAAATGGAAACTAAAGCCATGAGAGGGTAAAGTTATTTGGTAAATGCACCCCAATAAATCAGAAAGAATCATTCTCTTTTCAAAAGCAAAGCTATTTTCAGGATTTTGAATTCTCAGCTATAAATATTCAAAATCATCTAAGAAGCACTTTGAGATCTCCTTACACATGGTCAGAAGCACAGACCTTCCAGCTACTCCTGGTTTTGTGACACTGGTAGCAGGTCATCTTTTATAATTTTCCACCATAATCTCTGTCTTGTCCTCCACAACTCATGACCCCTCTAAGGCTACCAAGGAACAATACCACAGACAGTTTTCCCTGTAGCTTCCCTTCATTTTTGTATGCCATCCTATATACTTTGAATGTACTGAGGTGGACTCAAAAAGCAATTGCTTATTCCATGTCGTACAAATTTTATACCAGAGCTATGACTCTATACAGACATTTCTCCTGCATCTCAATACCTGCAGGTAAAAGAGTTTGTCCATATGAATTACTGCTAATAGTTTTTAGAAATATAACTAATTTAAACAACTATCCCTATAATCAAATACACAATAATCGCTATAATTAGTTCTTTTTATCCTTTTTTTCCTTATAATAAAACAAAAAAAGGTCAGGGCTTCTAACACACAAACAAGAATCAACAACAGAGAATATGATCAAACATGCATGTTTCACTAACAATTTTAGGCCCAGAGACTAGCAATTCTGTGGAAAAATCAATGGACAGAACTTACGGACACCACTATAACATTTCCTGTTGTTTTTCCAAGAATCCCATCATCATTTAACATGGCACTTGCAGGAAATACATGAAAAGGAGTGTTGAAGGCAGCACTACAACAGTGTGGTAACACCAATACAGAGCATCCAAAGATTATTCCCAAGAACGTTACTAAACTTAATCCGAAATATAGATTCTGAGAGCCTGAGATGGGTGTGCCAAAGTACCTCTCTGCAAGATCATTGCCAGCAGTCCGATAGCAGAAGGCAGGATCTGATAAATTAGGCCAACCTTTTGAAGAAACACTAAGTTTGATACCTAACCTGTATCTGAGGAACAACACAAATCCTAGAGAGGCAACACAAGTACTGAAATGAGTATACAACCATGACATAGTAGAGAAGTTAGGTCTCCAGAGGACTGGGAGACACCCATGTGTTCAGTTTAGCGGGTACAAAGCATACATATTTTCCCTTTGTGCCAGTTATTCTGCATAATAACAATCCTGTGGCCTAACATCTTCAAAGTTTTACTTGCATCTGAAAATTAATGAGTGGCATTTCTGTATCTCACCACAGCATATCCCATGCACCAGTCAGGAGGGTCTAGAAGCTAGTTGTACTGGCTTGGCACACACTGCAGAAACTCAGGTTTGACAAGCTAAGAGAGAGGACCAATATTTACTACAGTAGAGCAGCAGCAGAAAGCAAGGTGGAAAATCCAGCTCAGGCTTTTTCCATCAGGGTTTTATTTAACCCTGTGATAGCACAGTTTAAGCTGCATTAGTGTCAGCTACTACTAAGAGATGTATTAGGAAGGAGTGCAAGTGGTGCCTCAAAACTGTATCCTCTGGAAGAGGAAAATACTTGCTAATATTAAGCCCAAATACACCCACAACTGTAAAATGGTCTATAGACAGTAGATTTTTTTTAGAGTCAAATTTTAGCAACTTATTTTTAGTCAATGTCAAGCACTCGGTGGAGGGGAAGATCCCCCACCAAGTATTCCATTAGTAGCAATGATCTCACAATCATACTCCTGCTGCTTAGGACACTGGTTACTCATAAAATACTGAGTTCTGAATACTGAATGAAAACACTGTCACAAAGTGTGAAATAATGGGAGAGAATAATAAATAATAATAAATACTTTTACAAGTTATAAGTTTATAAAAAGAAGTCTGAAGCAGAAAGCACAAGGTGCTGGAGAAATGCCCACATAGGGAGACCTCAGGCTTCTACTTTTTATGTCATCTATCTATCTATCTATCTATCTATCTATCTATCTATCTATCTATCCATCCATCCATCCATCCCAAGGGACTTTGAAATCCATAGATTTTATTTAGTATGCAGTTAGGATCATGCAAACCACAATATATGATTTATCCTGCCTTAACTATTTTTAGAAGGAGGTAAAAATTTTGTGAAAGGTGATTATAGGACAAAGAGAAGGGTATCAAGACATCTGCATAACAGATAGGACAGTGCTGTCAGGATTTCTCTATTCCCCTGCAAATATGCTCTAAACTCTTATTAGCTTCTCTGACAGCCACTGCCAGTGGTGTCTGCATGATGCACATATCCAAGAATTCCCCACTGGGCCTGAACTCGGCTGCTTTCCAAGAACCTTATTCTGCCACCCCTTATAACAAACTTCCACTGACACTGCCCCGGCATTCCACTTCAGCTCGTGCTATAGTTTGTCACAATGTGCATAATCTCAACTAAACTAAGTCATGTTGTTATACTTCATGACTGGAAGGGGCTCTAGTCATTGGGACTGGAAAACTGTTTTCCCTTTGTCTCTAAATGTGTTACGCCCCAATTTGGATTTTCTGTAAAAGGCAGTAAGAGACTCAAGATGGCAATAGAGAGCTGGAAAAAGCATATTGCAGGAAAGAACTATAAATATCCCTTTTGTTGCTTAATGTGTTGATAAACCTCTTGCTAGAGAGGCCTCTAGTGTTAATCTGCCCATCAGTCTCTCAACAATTCCCTTCTAAAATTATCAACAAATACTTTTGTCAGTAGAGAATGTTTATTTGCAGTTGCACAACCCTCAGTTTGCAGAATATTAGCTGCTTAAAACATAAGCAAACAGCCACAGTCTAGAAAAGCCAGTACTGTGAAAATTAATTCATAACCTTATTTTGCAGTAAATTTAGGGTTATAAGATTTAGCAACGTGTGGCTAAATGTTGCTAAATCTTGGACATATCAAGTGCCTTAAGGGCAAACGTTTTATTAGATTTTTTAAATGGTGATGAGTGCAAAATATTTCAAAATGATTTTAGAAAACAAACACACATTTTTATAATGCAGTTTCTACTTTCCCTTGTGCGGAATCACCCTAAAACGCAAACTGGACGCAGAGTTTCTGAATACACCAAGTGACTGCTGTGTGCTCCTTGACAGCTGCTGCCTTCCAGCCCAGAGGCAGCAGCCTGGAAATGATGAATGAACTTATTCATACAGTCAGCAGCTATCTGAGTGTAAGAGATATACCTAATATGCATTACATACATCTGTCTAGAGATACGTACGCAGAAACTAAATTTGATTTAGTAAGCACTGAAAAGCCTCCCAAAAGTAAGGCATTGTAGAATTATCACTGACCAGTGTTTCCCATATTGAATATGCCCAAAAAGGTAACATTTGTAACATTTTGTACAAGATTATCCTTAATTACTGTTTGTTCCTTGTAGATTGTACAATAGTATGCCTCTTTCAGCCTAAGTGACTCTACTGGCCAAAGAACTTGCTGCATTAAGGGCTGCACCAGAGCTGATAAGGGTTTAGCCGTTTACTTCTGTGGATTTCAGATCAAGCCTTCAGCTCCTCAGGAAGAAAAAAATGTTTTTTATAAATAGGAAAGACTGATTTCTGCCTAAGCTGCTGTTTCTGATCAGAATGAACGCTGAAGGCTTTAAAGCTGATTACAAATTAAAATATGTGTCCCCAAACGCTTGCCTAACTTTTAAACAATTGTCTGCCACTGTCTGCTGAGCTGGAGCTGTAGGGGCAGGTGTGCTGAGAACTGACACCTATTTCAAGATCAGAAGAGGGCACTAGGGTTTAAGCTATGCTCAGCATAATCCCAAACAAAGAGGGGGGAAAACCCCGGTTAAATGTGTTACAAACAGTCTTTTGTTCTCCTGGTTGTCTCAAATGAATGAGGAAAAGCAGGCAGGGCTGGAAGCCCATGGGACCAACCCCACGGCAGCTCCAGGGGCATGTTCAGCCACCAGCATTTACACCAGTGTTTCAAAACTGCAGTAGCCTCACCCAGCTACCAGTCTTCCCCTCTGTCCCAGCCTGCGTGGGCAAAGCTTTGCATGTTATTTCTCTGTTGGAATCTCTGCTTGTGACTGTGCTGACAGCAAATGGGTATGTCACCAGAATGACAGCTATTCACAGGGACACTGAGCTGCCCGGTCCACCATGCTGAGAACCAGTCAGAAGGGTCAAGAGGTGTCCCTTGGAGGCTTGAGAGATACAGTGAATTTCACACTGCAACTAAATAGTGATAACCCCACACACAGGCACCCAAAAAAGTCACACCATGTCTCATTCTTGTTGCAGCTATGAAATAGGGTAATTGTGTTACGACTGTTATTCTCTGTTAAATCTGACTGTGGTATTCTGACACAGCACAACACAAATTTTTATTACACAAGACTTGCTACAGACTGTGCATGTCTGAGTTAAAAATGGAGTACATACCATGGTGATGGACAGGCTGGGGACAGGAGGAACCATTCAATGCTATGCAGCTGTATCAGCCAGCTCAGCTGTTGTATCTCCCTCTGCTATCAGTAGATAGAGGATTACCTGGAGAAAGAGAACTCAATCTATGTTTCTCCAAAAAGCCTTCTGCAAAATAATTTCCTTCTCATTGGTTCTATAGGTGATTTAGGAAGAGCTACAACAAATACTAGCTAAAATGGACATGTAAATATCTACTATACATCAATGAATCTATATAAATCTGAGTGCATGAAAGAACAGCCCTGCTAGGTTAATCCAAATTACTCTGTGTGATAGAAGATAAATGTAGAGGACTGTAACAGGAGAGTAAGTGATACTTTCCCAGGTGTCCTTTCCCAGCTTCCAGCAATTTCTGGCTCAGGGACTTCAAGTCAGATGTTATCTTTCTGTTAAATATCCCTTGGTGGATTTTTCCTGCATGGATTTCCTCTAGAGATGAAGCGAAGACCTAGAGAGCAATATAGTGAATTAATTTTCTGGATGTTCACTTAAGTTGTCACTGAAGACTGACCCCAAGATTCATCCTTGCCCTGCATAGAAGTCAGTCCTGCACAAGGCTGCTGAAGAAGCACCTATTGACTACAACTGGCTTTGAGGCATAAGCTGAGCATTTTGTCTATAGTGCTGCTCTACTCACCAGGTTTCTTCCTTTCCGCTGAATATGAAACATGTGAATGTCCCTTCTGAAAGTCCACATTCACCTAAAGCAGCCTAATGGAAGCAATTAGCTTTTTCACAACTTGGCAAAATCAGATGCCAGAGAGCCCTTTAAGAGAAAACTGATTAAAGAAGCACCTCAAGTGCAACCACTGTTTAAAGATAGGTTTATATTTTACTGAAATGGAAAAGTCAGGTAGAGCACAAATAATGGAGAACACTAGTTGGAAAACCAGCAGGATACATATGTACATGCAGCAGCCTTCACTCCACAGATATCAGCTATCCCATGGCCAGTGTAGAATCACAGTACCCTTCTCTTAATTGCATTAACTGTAGCATATATCAAAGTACTGGAGAATGCATTAACTAAGATAAATTTCTTAGGATGCAACTTTCCATCAATTTTTAAGTGTAAAATAACTATTTGATTCTATGCACTAACATACCTGAATAATCTACAGGACTCTGGTATAGATTTTATTAGGACTTCTTACTGTTAGCTTGTAATATGTGTACATGTGTACAGTATTCATATTTAAAAGGCATCTCACAGTAAGGAAAAATTATCCATCAAGTATTATATTATCTTGTGTATATTTCTCTGCAAGCTAGAGGGGGCAAAAATTGGGCTTTATGCCTAGAAATGTTTCAAACAAACTAATTCAAATTGCATTTTAGAACAAGGAGTTTTTGGTACAAGAGGCCATCAGTCTTTGCAGTTTTTTTAATGTTGCATGTCAAAATGTAATATTCCTACCATTTATTTCTACTTTAAGAATTTATTATCTACTTTAAGAAATAATTGTTATTGTGTTCTACTGAAAAGTAAGTGAACAAAACTGAATTTTCTCATGCTGCTCTAATATAGACAGAGACAGAAGGGGACTGGCACATTTATGTGTAAATTAGGGAGTAGCTTTAGCAAAGGAATTACTACATTGTGTAGAACTAAAAAAATAAATAAATTAACAATCAGAGAACAAAACATTTGTGTTTCTGAGGCAGCCTGTGTTCAGAGTTTGTACTAGCCTATACAGTACAGCACCTCCCACAGAGTAACTCTATAAAAGCCCATCAATGTGCAGTTTTCAAATGTATTTGATTCTAACGTCTTTCTGGAGAATTTGTCAAATCCTGTCAGATGACTCAAGACTGCTCCAGCCTCTCCCTTGGACCAAGACTTTGAAATCTTATTCTGCAGCTTTTAGATGACCTTTGCAACCTGTTGTCTCCCAGACAGATATCTCCCTCTGTTTCAGTGAGAAGGTGCCAATACTAACCTAAAACCTCAGAAAAATGTACACATCATTAGCACTAACATCAGCACGAGGAACCCATGTGAACTTGTGAGAAGAGGAATGAAAAGTTAATGAGGTAAACCTGCTGTACATGCTGTACAATGGGCTTTGCCAGGAGACCTAAGCAACTTTATGTTGTTCGGCTGGTAAAAAAGTGTGCATATGTAAAATATAAATTAAAAACCAACAGGATATGTAGAATTCCTAAAAATTAAACTTTGTTATCAGGGAAGACTTTATCAGAAGTTTTTTAACTTGTCACAAATGACTAATGACACCACTGAAGTTTTCTTTACTACTATCACAGATTGGCTATCACTTCTCTCCAAAACTATCTGCTTTTGGTTTTGTCTTTGCTTCTCAAACTTAAACAGTTGACTGAATAAGCTAAAAATGCAGGTTATCAAGCACAAGATGTATTGTCTTTCATATAGTCCATCACATGCTTACAGAAGGCATGTCATTTTTATCTGAGGACTAATATAAGAACCTGTGTCTTACCAGATTCTTCTTGTAGTCAGTAATCACACCTTAAAATTAGCAGTCACAAGAGTACATCACAGAAGTGTATTATGTTACTGGACAGCTATTTTTTTCATGCAAGTTGCAGACATAACCACAGAGGAGGGTCTGACTGCATGATTAAAGATACGATCTGCCACAAAGAACTAAAAAGGCAGTAACACCCACAAAAATTTACTACGGTTACACTTCAGGATCATGCCACCATTGTCTTGGAATGTCTGGATACTTTTGCACAGACAGTGCAGGGGGCATACACCATCAGAAGTATCCAAAGGATTTCCATTACTCAAAAAGAAGTAAGAAAATACTTAAGGAGGAGATATTCTTGGCTATAAACATTATTATACTGAGGTGCAGCTCTTAGAGTGTTGAAATTGGTCTCCCTGCTCCTCCCGTGCAAGGCTGGCTCAGAGAGAAGGATTCTTGATGGTACCTTAGGAGACCTGGGAGCTGAATAGGAGCTGAACCAGTTAATTTACGACTAATGGCTGCTAGTGATAGCAGCAAATGTGCATGTTTATCAGAAACATTAAAAACTTCAAGGGCAAACATTCACAAAGGTGAGAGTCAATATTCAATAATGCCTTAATAAAGCTGGAAAGTCAAGAAACATAAATGAGTATTAATATTACTTTTAAAAGGGAGAAGACCAAAGTTATATTAATGCAGATGTGGAATAAGAAACTCTCGTAGCAAATGGAAAAATAATTAGGATAAAAGTGTGGCAGCTTAGAGGGATTGATTTGCTCTTTGAAAGTTAATAATGAAAGACTGTTTTGAAAAGAAAAACCAGGTCTGCTTAAAGGCAAACACTTCTTACTTGTATGTATAAAAACCTGAACAATAATAATGGTGTGTTTTGGGGGGAACAATAATGGTGTATTTTGGGGGAATATAGCATGCCCTAGAAGTTAAATGGGAATAAAAACTACATAGTTTGAAATCACTTTTTGCTGTTGAGATTTTTAGAGAGAGGGAAGCTAAATGTTACAGAAATTGCCCCTTTCTCTTGGAAAGGGGACAATGATTTTGCAAATCTTCCTTTAAATTTAGACCTTTGGTATTTTCAAGTATTGAGTACACCATCAGGAAGGATTAGGAGCAATATGCATATACCATCAGGAAGGGTTAGGAGCAATATGCCAGCTTTGCTGATATCATTCCTTTCTATCTGATCAAGCCAGTAACAGATTGGACACAGATTGATCAGGATAAACTCATTTGGAGATCAGCTCTCCCTGGAAAAAAGCACTGCATGAAGTTAAACATAGTTTCATGGTATTATGAAAAAATGATGAAAACAACACAAAAAAGCAGAGAAATACTTTGAGATACTCAGCATTTATAAATGAAGTGACTTTCAAAGGAAGTGATAAAAATTAGGCCAGGATTACCCTAACACCTAACATTGAGTCTTTTTAATGGACTCTGTCACCTAATGGGGGAGCATTTCTGTATGGATTGCTGTAGGGCAGCTGAACATGCACATATTAAAATTCCCTATGAAATCCTCCCAGTTCTTATTAAGGCAAGCAAAGGAGACATAAGGACATGTCATGCTCCCTCTTATATTATTCTCTCCTCAGAGCACCGTGGGGATTTGCGGAGTGTTTAGAGCCAGCTTGCGCACAGCTCTCCCTAACAACCATCCAAGTGACCAGAGCATCCTAGGACTGTGCCTTTTTGATTCTAAAAGGAGTTTTTCTGAAGACAAAAGAACCACCACCACCCATCCCAAATCCAAAACAGACTAAAACCCTGGAGAATTTTCAAATTTACAATAAAATAAAACCATAGCTAATTTCTAACAGAGCAGTGCTCTCTCTTTTCAAGTTTTGTGTAGCAAAACATCTTTCACTTTAATTTCACTATTACATTACAGTTTGCACCACTGTAATTACCTCTCTGAACAGAGATCCCAAAAGGATTCAGAAAGGTGTTCATTATTGTGGCCTTTTACATAGTGTGTTTGTTGTGCTTATTTATATTACTGTGATAGAACAATTTGCATGCCAGCTATTTTCTACAGCTGATTTATAATCTTATATTTTCATGGCATTTATAATGAACATCTTCATGTAAGAAGGCTGATTTATTTAAATGCACAGATTTTTAGTTCGGGGGATGATGGCTTTACCTTATAAATATCAGGCTAAGAGATCTGAAGACCTGAAGAAAAGATTCTTCACCATAGAGCTACATCGTATATTTTCTGGCATTTAATGGACCTGTAAATATAAGGCTGAAGTGTGAAGTGTGAAAAAAACCTTAAGGAAACAAAATGCTTTCCCACGGTTTGTGTCATATTAAGCATTGGCCATAACTACATGCGCAAAGTCTCCACATAGCTGAATGCGCAAAGAACAAAAATGCTGATACCCAGTGACCCTATGGGAGTTGCTCAGAGGTACCAATGACAACCTCTGCTCATTATCTCTTCTGCATTTGTATTTTTGGAGGAAAAAAAACCCTCCCAGCTTCTGCGTCTCTGTGGTAGATGTTGAGAAATACATGTCCACTGCAACAGTGACTAGTGCACAGGCCTGTTCCTCGTGCGCAACACACACAAAATAGCATTTTGTACAATTGAACTGGAGAGTGAGAAGTCTTGCTCAACATGCCTCTTCCTTTAACCACAGAATTTACTGCATGCTACAACAGCCAACACAATTTTAAATTGTGGTTTTACTGAAATGTACAGCTAACCAACAATCCTCCTGAAAGAAAAAGTGATTACATAAAGCCATAAAGCATTGCAGCATGACAATGCACACATTTCAGATCTAAAACCTTCCAGGAAAATGAGTAGTTAGGAAATCTCACAAAGACTTTGGTGGAATTAGGACAATTTTTACAATCTGAGGAGCCAGCCTCAAGCCTAGAACAGTTTCTCCAGAGGGAAGGCAGTTGGTAGGGCTGGCTTTGTAAGGCAATGCTCATCCATAGCTCAGGAAACGTTTTTGGTGAGCCGTATGGAGGAAAAAAGAGCTCCTTCTACCCTGCAGGCTAAAATTCTTAAGTTTTGCACACAGCTCACAATAGCCATAAAGGACAGAAAGAAAGCAAGCTGTATTTTCCCACCCGATAAATTCCTGCAGTAATCTCCAGAGTTCTGAATGCATGGAGGAAGTGGTAGTTTACTACTGCAGGAAAGCAGCTACAGCAACATTATGGGCTAAATTAATGTAACGTGAACCATGACAACTTACTCCTTAACTAAATGCTAACATTACCCTGCAGGTCCATGAGATAGTGGCAGCACATGTGCGAGTTAAACATCAAAACTCAGATGAAGTCACCATATGTTTGTCCCCTGGAAGGAAAAGTCACCTTTAAAAAATTATAACCGCTCGTTCTTTGCTGTGCTGTTTGTCTTTGATGCTGGGAAACAGAACATGAAAAATACTTCAGCAATGTAAATCTTCTGAAGCTGAAAACCACTGCTACATTAAACCTCATCTTGTCTGCATGGCACTTTGTTTTATGGGTGTAACAAGATACTGTGAAAATGCAAGCAAACTTGACCTTACCCTCATCTTTGGACTTGCAAAATGATCTCTGCTTGAAACTTCCTCACATTTCCTTTCATGTGCCAGATCAAGACTGAGACCAATCAGATAAAGCAGCGTGTCTTGAAGGCTTGACTCACAGCTGTCCAGACAGTTAACCTTGGCTATGGAAAAAAACCCAATAATCAAACAATCCATTTTCTTTTCAGAGTTACAACCGCTGTATCAAATGATGTGACACTAATTTCCCAACAGTGTATACTTTGAAGCTGACAAGTGTTAAGCTATGATTAAAAATTCCAAATGAATGTAAGTACCTGTCACTCAGATGGGTCCCTCAGTTGCATTGGTGACCACAAGAAAACAACCAGGGATCCGTCTGCCCATTTATGTATGGAGAAGGTGCTGCAGAGACCTAATTACAGGGTGAACCGGTTAACTGTCTCAGCACCTGTAGATCAGATACACAGTTGACTCACAAGCAGCCTAAATTAAATGCAGTTATTTTCATTTTACCATTAGGATCAAGGACAATGCAGCAGGTAGGGAAAAAGCGAAATCCCAACCCCCCAAGAAACACTATGGGAAAATTTGCAGACTTGTTTCCAGAAACTCACAGGTCTGTTGTGGTCAGTTTTACTAACTGCTTCAGAAAAATAGGTGGTTTAATCAATTTATTAAAACATGTATCTGTGAAACAGCTGTATCAAGAATGCACCAATTATAATAAAATTAATAAAAAGTGTAATTGGATAACATCAGTGCCTGCAGTGCAAATTGTGAATTTTGAAGTAACCTCATTTCAGACAAAAATGATAGCTTTATACAGGCAGTTTGTCTTTGATAAATATACTACAGCCTATTGTATGTGTTCTGAATATGCGTTTATAATTAAGCAAATATGCAGTGCTTTGTTAGAAGGGCAAAAGTTTGAACTATTTATGCTTCCTTGATAAAACACTCATTCCAGAACCTCTTTAGAGTAATAAATTCACTTTAAGTAAAATGCAGCTAACTAGAGGTTTTAAAATTGTAATAAATAGATACTTTAAACATTAAATACCTAATGAACGCCCTAAGTAGGAACACTACAGATGATTCAAATGAAGGACTAAAAGCTAGGAATCCATAGAAAAATTCAAAACTTTTTCAATAATTAATAGTTACAGCAAATATTCAAACCAGTTGTTTAGTTTAGATTAAATCCTTATTTGGAACACAGTAGATTAAAAATGGCTTCTGATAGTCATATGCTGGCTTTCTTTCATGGAGGAATAGAAGGAATGTGGGAGAGGAATACTGACTGTTTGCTCTCAAACACTTACTTGTATGAGCAATTTTAGTACATGAAGAACCCTGCTGAATTTACCAGGACTGTTTGTGTACGGGGCTTCTCATGGACATGGTTGTTCACAAAATTTAAGCCATTAAAGGCTATTAACTCTTTTCTCAATGAACAGGGTCAGTCATTAAGAGGAAGCAAGGAAAAGTTATGAGGAATGTATTGTCCAATTAAAAACACAAGTATTAAAATTATAGATGGTCAGAGATTCTGTCAATCAAGGAGTTGACTAAAAGCAAATCAGAAGTGTAAATCATTTAGACTTAGAAAGTACTAATTTTTTTAACTCTTTTTTTTTTTTTTTAATTTCCCCAGCAGAGATGGGCAAAAAAATCCCAGACACAGCAAACATCTGTATCTTGTGAACACCCTTCTTTGACTACAGAGCAGAAACTTCCAGTACAAAACAGCTTCTTCTCCCTTACCCACACCAGGAAAAGTGACACACAAAAATGTTACAAAACAGACTCCACTCCTTTGTTTTGGCTTTTAGAAGTCCACTTTAATTTTGATAAAAGCAGGAGCTAAATACTATAGCAGTTCACCCTCAACTTTGTAGAAAATAAAAGCCCTTTTCACTGTCAGACCAATTTTCTCAAGTCACTCTAAATTACCACGGTAAGCATGTGTTTCTCTACAGAGGTCCTCATGTTGCGTGAGTACCCTGGTAAATTCCAGGACTCTCCTACAGCAGTGGAAAAAACAGTGATTTTAACCCCCTTGTAATCCCCCTGCCTCAGGGCTCTCTATGTGTTATACACATCAGATCTTTGCTGGAAATTTTTCACTTCAGCCCCACACCTTTTTCTTTTAAGCTGGGAGATGTCAATGTTAACACTGGCTGCCTCCTTGGATTCTTATTTCCATGTGCATTCATCAAAACTGTTTTCAAGAAAGGGGTAGCAATGGCATTGCACTACAGTAGTTAAGTCAATACAGACTCAGAGTTATCTGATTTTCATGTCTACCTACAGCAATTTGCCTTTATGAATGTTTTTCACCACTGAAAGTGAAATCTGTGTCTCTCAGGAGCAATGGGTTTTCAGATATACAGTTACACCAATTCAAAAATTACTCTCAGCAAAGAATTAATATCTTTAGAAACATGACACTGAAATGATGGCATTATAATCACTAACAGATTTAAGCGGACATGATTACAGTAATTTATATCTCGATGTGATTACAGTAATTTGTATCTATTAATTAACATACATTTTAAATCTCTTGCCATGTTAACTTTTTTAAAGGAAATGATACACTTCAACTTAATGATGTGAAATTCGTCCCAAATGTTACTTTCCTCTTTTCAGTTTTGTTGCACAACTATAACACAATCAGAAAACAAAAAGTACCAGCTATAGAAGTATTAAGTTATGTAGATGTGACCAGAATGAAGCCATGAGTATTTCTAGCAGTGTTGAAGCTTTTTTTGAATGGTCTTCTGCACAAGTGACATGACTGTTTCCTTCTTTTGACTTCACCTGTCACATAAATACAGTCAGATTTTGCTTGTGTGTCATTCAGATTCATCTGCATTTCCAGACTCCAGGGGAGAGAGGATTGTTAAAGAATAAATATATTGAGCAATTAAAATTAATGCCTAGAGTGGAATCTTGCTAGGATAATAATAGAGAATTAATAATAGGTAAGTAATAATACCTCTTACTTTATGTGTTGAATGGAATTTGAAAACAGTAAAGTGAAACTCTCAACAGGTGTCCCTTCCTTCTTTTCTCATGTCTCCCTGTGATACGAGGGCTCTCCAAGCCACCACTTAACTGTGTTCAAAACAATGGAAAAAAGCTTGTGTTGGACCAACTCTGCAGTCTACATTTAATGCTCTCACTGATATTTAGTTCTTAATGCTGGACAAGCTTTTTCTCCTAGATTTGGATAATGATCCCTACCTTTGGAGAAGTTTGTGTAAGTAGTGGCAAGTACTCAGGTTAGATGATGATGGTAATGAAAGAAAATAGCTAACAAACTCCAGAAGCAATTTAGATAAAAAGGTCACACACCAAACAGTGCCAAAGTAAAGTGAATTTGGCAGATGATAAAAGAGAGGGGAGGAAAACCAGTGCCAAATCCAAATTATCACTTGTTAGCACCACCCAAAGCAATCCTTTCCTTCCTAGGGCACACAATCAAGTGCTGTTGATCTTCCCCAACTTCTAGCTGTTTTCAGGCAGAAGAGAATCAAGTTTCAAGAAAACAAACAGGCCTACAGCCTATGATACATATTCCTGCCTCCTCTCCCTGTTAGGTCTTTGAATCCTGGGCAGGACTAAATTCTGTATTTCTCATTAATCATCATTTTAATGTTTTACACTTACAGTAGCAACCCAGAGCCAGCAGCACTTCTGCTTGTATCATAAATTGGCATAATTTCAAAGTTGCCGTAATTTCACAAAACAGGGGACACACATGATTTGTATTTACTGTTGGCAGCAGTTCATACCAAAGAGACGTTGTGTCAGGACACTAGAATAGTTTTTAAAAATCCAGGAGAGTGCAGCATGCCTTCTAGTAGTTAACTTCAAGGTACCAATGTCTAACATTGGTATACTGCTGTCTCATGAGAACTGACCAATAAAGCTCAGCTTTGTTAGGCTGACTCAAGTCATGAACATATGTATTTTTAACTTAAAAGCTAAATCAGAAGTATTTTACTCCAGATACAGCATGTAAATAAATATACATAGCTGCTAAAACCAAGTTGAGAAATTATGTGAGGACATGCAAGGAGGAAAGCACTAAAATTAATGTTAAAATTCATGAAAAATTGGCTATTGTTTTAATTTAAAATAATAGAAAGTTCTCCATTTGTCAGTTTGATAAAATACACATTTAAAAAAGCTCCTACAAGATATTGTTTTTATATGGCTTACTTTTTACAGTTCACATAAAACACATATATGGTTTATATAATTATTTTTCTAAACTCACAGGATTTCAGAAAATCCTTTAACAAACTGTCAAAAAATTTAAGTTAGCCCCTCCTGAAGAAACGGCAGATAATATTTATTCATGAGTTATTAGATGTCGGCTCAATACCTAACACCTCCCAATGTTCTTTGCAAAATGACAATGTTTAGCTGTGTTCTCAGCTGCCCAACTTCCCCTAATTCATTCTAGAATTTCTTACTACTACGGCCTACATTATTTATGAAGGTAATACCTTCCTTGAAGCAGAGACTTTGATTTCTTATAAATGTATACAATAACTAGAACAAAGGGGACCCAAACTAATAACAGAAGATTTAATCACAGTAAATCAAGTAAATATTATGGAACACATTTTACAACTGGGTAAACTGAACTGAATTGAACAAGGTGACGGAACAAAGTAACAGCAGACTTGGAAATCAAAGCAAGAAATCTTATCTCACTATTTATTTTAACTAAGCCCACCGGATATAAGCAGCACATATGACACACTCTCCACTGCATCCAGCAGATGTTTCTTAGAAAGAAAGGTTCATTGCTGTTCAGAGAACTACTTGTTGCTTAATGTCAACTAACAACACAGAAGTCACCTCCCTTGCTGGAGCTGAAGATGTGACAGAAGAGGTGCTGTATATATTATAGACTTCTGCCCTGCCCCTTCCCCAAACTTTCAGGAGAAAAATATTACCTTTGACATTTAGATAGAATAACATGCCTGTATGGAAAGAGATAACCCAGCAAGAGGCTACTTGAATTGTTTCTCTAGTTTCTCATCTGCTCAGCTATTAAATGGCCAATCGTTAGCATGCCTCAGAATTTTAGTCATCAAAATGAACAAGAAACTTGTAATACCAAGGTAAGTATTTTCGTTCCTTTTTATTCCTTTAAATAACTGACCACTGCTAACTCTTGAAATAGAGTATGTAACATAAGAAATTACCTCTAGCTTATTATTTTTCAAGATGTCTCCCTTTCCCAGCCCACTGAACTCATCTGTGCTGCATCACTTACAAATTCCTTGTAAAAGTCATACTGAGACCCTTTTCTCCTCCCATTTACACCATAAGACCAATCAATGCCAATAGACTTATCATGCTAATGACTGTAAAAGATACACAATCTGTCTCTAATTGAATAAACAGCGACAAAGACAGAAAAAAGAAATGTCATGTTACCCTCACTTTCCCCAAAAAATCCACAGGAAGGAAGGACTGAAGGAAGGACGGAAAACTGCTTGACTTGATATACTAAGGAATGAATTTAAATTAAAAGCTGATTATTGTCATAATGCATTTGCACTTTGGAAAACAAATTAATAACTGTATAGAAAGACAAAAGAAATGAAGCATGGCCTAGAATGGAGTCGTAGAGGCAGTATTCTTTAGTTTACTAAACCAGCAGATATCTCTGTGTAAAACTGCTAGCAGGTTTTGTTTGATTGGGGTTGTTTGTTGGGGTTTATGTTTTTGATTCTTCAAAAGACTTAACTACATGAATTGTATGTGAAATCTAATTTCAGTGCCAATTAGTTTCTGTAGCTTAATGAAAAAATATATTCATAGTAATGCAGATTTCATGTGTTTAGATTTCATTTGAATACCTAATGAGGAAAATGCAGACAGAAAATGATTGTGCCTCTTCAGGTTGAATGGAAATCAGCTAATGTTACTGTAACAGAATTTCTTGGTGGATAGATTTCATAGACATTTCTAATCTATCTGCAACTTCCTGAGCAGGTGGAATGTGTTTGAAGTAGAAGTGGTCTTAACTCTGCAGTGCTAATTCTATAAATGTGAAATGTGGGAATGTCTTATTTTTTCTGTGTTGTTTTCTTTTTTTTTTTTTTTTTTAACAGTGTATAATTGGACATTTATATAATAAATTCCTCTTCCAGGTAAGGCTGACTAATGCTTCTCACTGCCACTGCAAGTAAGAAAAAACTACTCAAATTAAAATTGAGTCTCTAGAAAGATAAAATGACCAAGACAGAAGCACTGAAAGTCTGGAGGTAAAAAATACATGGCAGTACAACTTCTTGGATGTATAAAAAATGAACTGAAAGAGTTCAACGATATAGGAAATTCTAGTTACTGTAATAACACACAATCATCATGACACACACTTTCCACTCCAAAAAGGGTTTTCTTTGATAGAATCATGAACAGTTACAGTTTTCTTTACCATACCTACCCTTTTCTTCTTTCCTACTTTTAGATTAATGGACAAGTTATAATACACTAATATATCTACATTTTATTATACGTTATAAACCCCAAAGATTTTATTGGAAGAGGCTGAGAAAAGATGTGGCACAAGAAAGAACAAAGTAAAGGAAACAGATCCCACTCTTGTTCCAAGTAACAAGTGTTTTGTAAGCCAAGGATATAATTCATGTGGAGACAGACCATGCTTCTCTTACCTAAAAACTTTCAATGTTGGTAGTGATTTAATACTTCTAGCCTCAACAGAGCTAGCTGAGCTCAGCAATGTGCTATCTGAAAAGAAAACCACAGCACAGATTGAAGATGTTTCATGTAAGTCTCATGAAACCCACACAGCAGACAAGACTCAAAGGCTTCCTTCAACTACTGTCCTCATGGGACTACTCATATGAGTTTGAAGCCTTGGGTAGATGGGGACACTGTATCTTAATCATTACAATATGGAAAGGAGGGGACAAAAGAAAGATATCCTAACCATCAAGATTCATGAGGTGGAAAAGCACCAACTCAAATATTAGCACAAAACTCTTGACTTCAGGTGTGATGCTAGTTGCATTGAAGTCAGACAGAAAAAGCAGTAAGCTGGAGCTGCTATCAAAGCTATGATGACAGTCAAATATCACCCCATCATTTCCTATCAAATAAGCTGTCAGGCACTTTGCTCTACAGTCATGCAATACTATACGCCTTAGCTATATTTTTTACCATATATCTTTCCCAAGATATAAAACTGAAGCCTTAGTGTATTTTTGTATCAAATATTCTGGT